TGAAGACCAGCTATGTTAGAAAATTTTCAGTTTGCTATAATGAGTGCAATTAATAACAAAATTCGAAATCGCTAAGTTTTATTTTGCAGAAATGAAAAAGAAAGTGGTGATAGTCAGAAGTAAATGGATTAAGGTGGGAATTGGAGGTTAATTCATGTAAATATCAATGGGAATATCTCGGATGTTGTCCGTTCTCGAGAGGAAATTCTCTAGCTACCGCAGAACCCTTTTTCTTCCTGTTTTAAAGTGATTTTGATTAAAAATCCTAAGTACGTAGCGTATTCGGAAACTAAGTACCGTTTCATTCTAGCGCCGTCGCAGGGCTGTGGTAGGCGTCCCGCGCATGCGCACTAGTCTTTCTTGTTCACTGACTTTCAATTGTCGCCATTTTGGTTGCTCTATGTTGTATTTTCAGTTTGCTGTACACATTCAAAATGTTTAAAACAATTAGTTCTCCCGCTGACTGTGAGATTCGTGCCGTGATTAAATTTTTGAACGCGAGGAATGTTAAACCGGCCGAAATTTATCGTCAAGTGACAGAAGTTTACGGTGAATACACGATAAGTGATGGAATGGTGAGAAAGTGGGTAAGAATGGTTAATGCAGGTCGAACAAATGTCCACGCCGAGGCTCGGAGTGGTCGGCCTTCTGATGTCACCGATGATTTGGTAAGGAAAGTTGATGAAGCAATTCATGAGAACAGACGCTTCACAATGACAACTCTTTCAGAGGGATTTTCACAAATTTCATGTACTGTTTTGTTCGAAATTGTGTCTGACCGCTTGAATTATCGCAAACTGTGTTCCCGATGGGTTCCAAAAATGCTCACTGATGTTCACAAAACAAAGCGACTTGGTAGTGCCCTGACATTTCTCACGCGGTACAGTTATGAGGGAGAAAACTTTCTAAAACAAATTGTGACAGGTGATGAAACTTGGGTGTGTCATTTCACACCAGAATCGAAACAACAATCGATGGAGTGGAGACACACTCATGCTCCGAAAACACAAAAGTTCAAAGTGGCAATGTCATCACAAAAAATCATGTGCACTGTCTTCTGAGATAGAAAAGGCGTTTTTGCTTACTGAATTTCTTCCCAGAGGTGAAACCATTAATGCGGCACGATATTGTGAGACTTTAACAAAACTAAGGCGTGCCATTCAAAACAAACGAAGAGGAATGCTCAGTAAAGGAATTGTGTTGCTCCATGACAATGCTCGGCCCCATACTGCTGGTGTCACTTAATCGTTAATTAGACAGTTTCATTGGAAGCAGTTCGATCACCCGCCGTACAGCCCGGACTTGACGCTGTCCGACTATCACTTGTTCCTGCACATGAAGCGCGAGCTTGGTGGCAAGCGCTTTGGATCTGAACATGACACGAAAAATGTTGTGAAGTCGTGGTTATCGAAACTGGCGGGAAGTTTCTTTGACGATGGTATACAAAAACTGGTCACCCGCTATGACAAGTGTTTGATCATTGGCGGAAACTATGTTGAAAAATAGTTTAAGACATGTATTTTCATGTAAAAATAAAATTGGATTCGAAAAAACTGTTTTACTACTTTTTTTTTTTTTTTTTTTTTTTTTCAAAACGGTACTTAGTTTCCGAAAACGCTTCGTACTTCAGTATTTCAGGGCAGTTTCTTTAGAAAGAACATCCGCGTTTTTACAGCTCCAGAGCCAGGCCTAGTGGCTTTTCATATATTCATTTTTAAGTCAAGCATGTTAAATACTCCTTAACGTATTGCAGAAGGAAGTCTAGACCAGCGTTTCTCAATTTTTTTTTCGCCAGCGGACCGTTTAAATTTGTGAAAAAGTTTCGCGGACCAGGGTTTTTTTGTTCTCTGATTTGTGGTTGATGCACCGATTTTAAAGCGCATGCGCACGGAAAGCGCACGCGAGAGAGAAACTGTGTTGAGATTTACTTTCTAGAATCAAACAACTTTTCCTTTATTTTCATTGAAGTCTTATAGATTCTGTGTGAAATGCTCCTGTTTTGTTCGCCCGTCAGTAAACGCAATGAGAAAAGTGTTTGTTATTGTAGAAAAAATTAAATTAATTTAAAAAAGAACATAAATTAATTTTGAAAAGATCTATGGCTGTGAAATTTCAACCATCTCTGGATCTACATTCAGCACAACTTAATTATTATCTGTTTATACGAAATTAAGTAATAGCAACATATTACCAGTTACAAATTAAATTTTATTAGCATTAAGAAAGCAAAATTTTAAATTATGTTCTTCAAGCAATTAAAATATTTAAAATTTAAACAGGACTTTTAGGAGAGAATTGATATTTAAAATATTAGGTATAGTTGCAGGAAAAAAGTCCAATTTTTTTATGAAAAAAAATACATTATCTTGAGCGATGCAATATGTAAATTTAGCTTGCATTTTAAGTTACGATTTTGAATCTCGAAATGCTATTTCCCGTCGTCCATTGTAAATGCGCTGTTTCACTTTTCATTAGAATCTGTTGCCCTTCGGTAAAATGTAAAATATTTATCTTTAAAATTTTATCTGTCTGTTACTGATTAACATTGTAACTATTTAGAAACAATATAGTTCTTAAGAATATTTTTTTTATTTTTTCGATTTAATTAAAGTATTAAACATTTTTATAGAATTACGTTATACAGAGTCTCACAAAAGTGATGGGACACTTGTGCTTTACAAAAGGAAACTGTAATAAAATAAATTAAAAAAACATGTAAAAATTTTTTGTGGGTGTGTTTCATACTTAAATTTAGTAACAATTATTACATAACATACATTTTCTCAAAATATTAAAATATTAATTTAATAAAAATACAATTGTTTAGAACGGAGCAAAAAATGGCTCACATAAGTGATGGGACACCATTAGATACTACTACGTAGTACAATAAAAATATTTTTTGGGGTTTTTATTTTTACTCAAAAGCAATTGGCAATAATTTATAAAATCGTCTGCAGTATTTCTGTCCAGTTTGTTTTTATTTTTATTCAAAAGCAATTGGCAATAATTTATAAAATCGTCTGCAGTATTTCTCTCCAGTTTGTTTTGGAATTTTTGTGTTTTTTAGCTCTGTGCAGCCATGAATGCTAAACGAAAAGAAACTTTGCCTGAAATTCGAAAATTAGTTATTAATTTGCATATTGAACGTGGAAAATCTATTAGAGAAACTGTTGAAACAGTTAACTTGAGTCATTCAACAGTTTTCAATATCATTAAACGATATAAAAAGAATCATATGATTCAGGATAAAAGAAGACCTGGCCGACCATCAAAGTTATCCAATGGAATAAAGCGAATTATCGTTCGAAATATTAAAAAAAAATCCAAGAATGAGTGCTCCTAAAGTTGCTGCTGATTTACAAGCATTATATGGAGTAATTGTTAATCCTGAGACTATTAGAAGAGTAATTCGATCTGCTGGATATCACGGGTAGAGCAGCCAGGAAAAAATTCTTCGTAAGTGAAAAGAATAGAAAACTCAGACTGGCTTTCGCAAAATCCAACATAAATAAGAATTCTGATTACTGGAATGAAGTTATATTTGCTGATGAGAGTAAATTTAATATATTTGGTTCTGACGGTAGAATCTTGTGTGTAGAGAAAACCCAGGGAAGAATTTCGCAAACAGAACTTGGTGCCAACAGTAAAACATGGTGGAGGAGGAGTTATGGTATGGGGGTGTATGTCGTCCGCTGGAGTTGGTAATCTTGTTTTTATTGACAGTATAATGGATCAGTACAAGTATATTGACATTTTAAATCAAAATTTGAAATCTTCAGCACGAAAATTGAACCTTCATAACGATTTTAAATTCTACCAGGACAATGACCCCAAGCACACTGCTTTGAACGTTAGACTCTGGCTGCTGTATAACTGTCCTGAAATAATAAAAACACACCCACAATCTCCAGACTTAAATCTCATAGAGAATATTTGGCAAGAATTGGAATCAAGAATTCGCAAACACACCATTTCTTCAAAACAACAATTAAAATCGGTGCTTCAAGAAGAATGGGGTAAAATCACTCCAGAAAAAAAATTAGTCGAATCCATCCCAAGAAGATTAAATCATGTTTTAAAAGTAAAAGGAAATCCAACAAAAATATTAAAACCTTTTAAAAAGTAAAATTTTTGGATAAATATTTGATGGAAAAGTAAGTGTCCCATCACTTATGTGAGCCATTTTTGGCTCCGTTCTAAACAATTGTATTTTTATTAAATTAATATTTTGAGAAAATGTATGTTATGTAATAATTGTTACTAAATTTTAGTATGAAACACACCCACAAAAAATTTTTACATGTTTTTTTTAATTTATTTTACTATAGTTTCCTTTTGTAAAACACAAGTGTCTCATCACTTTTGTGAGACACTGTATATTTTTTCTCTTTTCAAATAGATTGAAGGCCTATAACATTCCCATGTAAGTCCAAATGTATATTCATTTAGTACGAAATATTTTGCTATTCTACTTGGACCATGTCTTTTGTTAATTTCTATTGATAAAACCACATTTTGGGCGACCGTTAATATCTGAAATCTTTCAGATTTATTATTATTAAAATATCTCTTTATTTATACGAAAACTTGCCATTGTACATGCGTATATTCATTTATTATAGTTTCAAGAAATTTTTCGATCAATTTTTACATTTTATGAAGTATTTGTCATACAGTGATACACAAAATGCGCGCACAGATGGTAAACGGTTTTCTTTCTACACAGTAATCCGACACAATATAGCAGATATCCAGACCACGATTAGAATGAAGATGTTTTAGATAGAATTACGAAAAATTGTTCAATGAACGAAATAGCTTTTACAAAACATATTACAGTTGAAATGAAATAGAATAGAATTCACTTTCTTTGTCGTGAAGCTTTCGTCAACAATGATTATTCTTATCGCATATGACATCACACGAAACTGGAAACGAGGCTATGTTTATCAGCTGACTCTTTCGCCTGCTACTTCATTAACGAGAGTATTTGCTTTAATGTTGTAGAATCTAGCGGTCGTGATTTCTTTCAAATTAAAGTGCAGCCTGTAAAGTGCTGCGCTCTTAAATTTAAAATATACTAAGTATTTTGAATGCGCGAAAGGTTAACCATGAAGAATTTCATCTGTAAATCCTTGCTTTGTATTTTAATATGTCTCAGTTCAACTCTTGCATCAGGTAAGTGGTTCCATTTAAATGTTGTTACTTGGAAATTAGGTTTCGCAATCTTTGTTTTACGGAGGAACACAGTTGATGTAGTGCAATTTCTCGCCTTTGAAAAGAAGACGAAGAGCATTATTTCTTTGACGTATAATTTTGTGTTAACTATATTGCGGTAATTGAACTTTTATTTTATTAGAAGTAATTCACGTTACTATTAAAATTTTAAGACTACCAAGCTCATTATTCTTGTTCATTTGTAAACTTCTTCGAAAATTTTGAAAAATCAATGAAAGAATTCTAACTTTACTTTTTTTCTCGTTCGTTTTCAGGAGTGCTGCCTGCGATAATTCAAATTTTTTATTTAGTGAACTTCGCTTTTTGTAGTACTGCTTTTCTTAAGATTCTAACAATTATTTAACTCCTGAGTCTGATTTTTGAAATATGTAACCGGATTTAAATTCGTATAATGTTATTATTTGATTTAAAAAAAGTAATTTTCTCTTTCACTAGAAGAAATTTTCAGAATATTTACATATTTAACCGCTAAGCATTATATATATGCTCTTTTTTTGTGCTCTTTTAGGCTGTTGCAGTTATGCGTTTTTGTGTGTTTTGTAGTTGTTTTTTTGTACAATATTTGAATTGTGTAAATCGCAGTATTTTCTCAATCATGAAATTGAACTTTGAAATCAGTTAATTTTGTTCCAACTTTAAAAACTACATTTGTATGAAATATTTTAGTTTTAAAATTTTTCCTTGCATATTGAGTCTGATGTACTGTCATTAAAATGTTTCACTGAATTTGATGAGTAGATTTAAAGGTTTGGGAAGGACTAGTCTGAAAAATGCAATTTAAATGAATATTTTATAGAGTTGAATGAAATGTTGCTATGAATTATTTTTTAATTTATAGCTTGTCTTGCAAATTGCTATACATAATAAAATTTTACTAAATTATGTTCAAAAGGTTTTGTGTCTAATAAGATAATTACTTGCCTTGAGTTGGAAGTAAAACCATTACTCTGCCATGTAAGTGCATCAGGTTTGTATAAAATTTGTTCAAAATTAGATTTTATACACTTTTCTCTAATGTATATAAAAGAATGAATTTATTGAAATACCTTGATATATCAAAATAAATTTCCTAATACTTGCGCAATAGCTGCAAAGTAATAAAATAATTATTTATTGACTAATGTAATATTGAGTATATTTATCTCCTTATATAAAGTTAATAGAATTGTATTTGAATTAACCCAGAAGCATTTAAAATTGAATCCCAAAAATCTTTTTTTAAAAAGAAATTTCAATTTTAATCATGAAAAATAGAAATTTTTAAATTGAAAATTGATCAATAAACTAGTAATTATCATCATTAGTTAATAAATAATTATATATATATATACACACACACATTTATATGTGTGTAATTCTCTATTAATCCTTATAAAATTTATTTTCTTTTTAAATTGATAGAATTTTGTGGCATTCTAAAGGATAATGTATGCAGGGTGATTAAAAAATGGCTACATATGATCATTTAAAAGGCAATGCATTTTAATTATAAAGGTGGTTTAAAAAAGTGGTTGGTATAATTTGTTGTTAGGTAGTGTATTGGACTCATTTTGTTTGGACTGCATGTATCGTGCAGATGGAAGTTTGAAAACATACAGTAAAATCTGTATTATTGTGTTGATAAATGATTGCTCTGAAGTGACCTCCTGTAGATAAAAAATTCACAGGTGAATCTGGTGACTATAATATTTATCCATAGCTGCTAATCTTATTTTTCTCTTTGATATCAGTGGCATCTCCTGATGCTTAACTTATAACATCAATTTAGTTGTGTGGTTTATAATTAGTCATTTTAAAACTAATACAGGCATCTGAATTTTCATACTTGCTGCTCTTGTTCTTACTTAAAATAAATTTTGTGTGTGAAAATATTGCTCGCATTTATAAGTTGAACCAATTGTGAACAAGATGGCAAGGTTAATTATTGGTAATTAAAAATTGTGGATCAGCTTTTCCAAACTTCGATTTCTCCTTAGGCTAGATGGAGCCCACCAGTGGCCGAGTGGTAAAGTCGCTGAACACTGATAGTTCAGTCTGAGGTTCGAATCCCGCGAACGGCTGCATGGGCGTTTTCGTGGTTTTTCCCATGTGTAACATGTATACGAGCCAGTTTCCCTTAGAAAGTCCTCCACGAAGACATCCCTTCACTTAGGCAGATAGCCCTCGAGGTTTTGCCATAATCACACACATGTGTGATGGCTAAACTTCGATAGGCAAGATGTTAGTTTTTACTTTTTTAAAATAAAATTGCATGCACATTACTGCAGCTTTGTAATCAAACAAAAATCTTGTTATTATTTATTTTGAATTTAATTTTTTTATACATTGTTCAAGTGTTCATTTCATGTTTATGGTTTTATAATTTATTTTTGTATAGTATCTTTTATTTTTGGAACTCAAGTGGGTTACTTGAAATTATGAAATGGGTCACTTGGTGACCCTTGGGTCATAGGTTGCCAAGGTATAAGCTAGATCCTGCCTATAGTATAAACTCTACGTGTTTTATTTAAAAGATAAGTCGCTTTTCTTGAAAGAAAGAAAAGCATTTATTATTATTTCATGTGTGTTATGACTTTCGCATCATTCATGTATTTATTTGCTAAACTTCTGTTTTGCTTTCATTTGCTTAGGTATCAGAGCCCTTCCTAGGTCATTGGCTGCCTGAATACTTTCCTAAGATTGCCACCCCCAAATTTAAAAAAAAAAAAAAAAAAAAAAAAAAAAAAAAAAAAAATTCAATGATTATAAAATTTTTATTTTATACTCACCAAGTACTTATTATACTCAGTATTTATTTTATACTCACCAAGTACTATTATGCATTGTGACAAGCTGTATAAAAAGTACTTACTTGTGATAAGTATTTACAATGAATTTAAATATTGAGTCATCGTATCGCGAGAGTTTGTCCATTCCTGATTTTCACTGCCCACGTACTTTTACACGCTGCACCCTCGCCAAGAACAGCCCTGTTAGTTGCATTATTTTTCTCTGTTTCTGATATTTCTTTTTTTTTTATATCATATTCCTTATAAACAGTGTAATATTACAAAAATAAAAAATATAATTTTAAATCAATGCAATACTGTTATAGTAATTACATATTTAAAAACCAGTAAAGGGGGAAAATTGCATAAGTAAACTACAGAATCACTCTCAAATTTATCATTAAATTATAAAGTGCTGTTGAATAGAAAATAATAACATCTAGTTTGTTGGAAACATTGTATTGCATAAAGAAAATGTAACAATGAGCATGTGGCTGAGACTGTCAGTACAGACTTAATGTGTTTATTCCTATATAAAAAAGTTTTTTTTTAACAAACTGTTAATAACAACTGCAATAATAACAACAATGTATTTGCTTTTTTATCTTAAGTTCTTGAACACTGAATAATAATAATAATAATAATAATAATAAAACAAATTAAGTCTTTATGACTTTGAAAAAACAACTAGTAACCATGAAATTAACATTGATTCATTTAATATTTTCTCCCATTAGATAGTAAAATTATTACAAATGAAGAAGAACCTGGAAGAGGAGTTATATTAACACCAGGGCAAGAATTAGTATTGCAGTGTAATAACACTGATGATCTCTCAGCTAAAATACAGTGGTAAGTAATTTTAGTATTAATTTCATATTCAAAATTGTAAAAATTAATATTTTGAAAATATGAAATTAAAAAAATCATTAAACATATTTACTCCCTGAACATTATTGGTATTGCATATATAATTTTTGTCAAATTTAAATTATTTAGTATTTATTAAGAATCTTTTTATAACTGCTAGATAATCTAGATCTTAAAAGATTTCTAGAAATCTTACTTTCCAAGTTTATATTTCACAAATGATTTTTTAAGTCTTGAAATTGGAATTTTTATAGATGAGCTGTTTGACTTCAGTAACAGCTTTATTCAAATTTCAAATCTGTAAAAGCTACAAACTGCATTTTTGTTTCTGTGATAATTAAACAAATATTATGTATGTAATTATGGTATTGACACTTGTCTCAGAAGTATGTATATATGTAAAATAAAAATATTTAAATTAGCTGTATAATTTAATTTAGTATACTCTCTTTCTTCCTAACGCAGTGGTATCAAAAATGTGAATGTTCTGGAAATGGGCATGATTAGAGTGCCATGTGAATTGTGGCAACAAATGTAAATTTAAATATAAGTGGAATTTAATCTGCCTCTACTGACAAGGTTCCTGTTCATTATGGATTAACATTCAATGCAATCAGAATTCTTCCTCTTCAATATGGATCTACGTTCTGTGGCAAACAAAATTGCTGCTACATCTTTTTCTCATTTATATCATATATATATTGCTAATAATGTATTGACTAGCATGATTTGTTATATTTTTAATAGAGATTAAGATAAATGCAACAATATTTATCCACTGCAAAGTGTAATTATATAAAAACAAACACCCTAGCTTGTTGCATTAAGATACAAACATATTCTTACAAATAATTTCTTTGCTTCTTAAGAATTCATTGTTTTATATACAATAGTGCTGTTTATTTATATGCAGTTGCTTTTTAATGCTAGAAGTAGCTCATTGTTGGTTGAGTAAATAAGTCCACTAAAGAGTGGTTCAACTCTGATTCAGATCCCAGCAAACTGGCATATATGTTTTTGTGGTTTTTCCGTGTGTAACATAAATGTGAGGATGCTGCTGAATGACATCCCTTCCTTTTGCATATAATGTGCAATTTCATGTCTAATAAATCCATTTCAGTCTAACTACATGGGATAACTGTTATATGTCATGCACTTCTGCATTATCAGTGTGATAGTGAAAGATGGAAAAGTGCATTTTCAAATCAAGGTGTTATGCGAAATGAAATGGCTGTGTAAAAAGGTATTATGGAATTGATGACTATGTCGTTCGGTTTGCCCGTGTTGTGTGTGTTATCATTGTTGATGATAAGAAAGGCTAAATTCAGTGTAGATATATATATTCATTACTGTAGATATATATATATATCTGAATCAGAAGCTTTTGTTTGCTATTTAAATGTATTTATATTGTACAGAAGTTTCTATTCATTGTTATGCAAGCATGGTTTTTATCCTTTTATGCTTATGATAGATGAATCATTGGACTTAATGATAAGCTATAAAGTTTTTAACAAAGTGCTTGTACTTTATCTTATAAAACAAAATATCACTTAGTACATGCTTTTGCTTTTTATGAAAACAAACTACAGATTAATGTGTATAAATAACTGTTTTCATGCAAAAACAATTTTTTTCAGTGATTAAAATGAAAACTAAATGCAAAAAAATTTTGAGAGCGATAAGGAAATATTTGAGACAGAGAGTATCGATGATTTTAATCAAAAGTTTCTAATCACTCTACTGTTTTTTTACATAATGGAAATTTGTTACAATCAAAGAGTAAGATAATTTGTAACGCTTTTTAGAGAGATTTTAATTAGTGAATACAAAATATAGAAACTTTTTAAAGAAGTAAAATTGTTTGTATTTCAAGCATGCTATGTTAATACAATGTAAGAAAATGAATCTCTTCACTTACATCCTCAAGTGTAAATCAAGTAAAAATAATGAGTGTTCTAATTCAGAATATTTGGCGCATGATTTAAATAAGGATATTGTAAAAACATCAAATTCTAAAAAAAAAAAAAAACTAGATCATAAAGTTGGTAAAATTTTTGATGCAAAAAATATATTTCATAGTGTACAAAACCGTCATTTCATAAAATCAATTTTTCTTAGCATGAGCTTCATGTAATTGCTTGCATAGCACCTTCCAATTTTTTGGATGCACAGATTTTAAAATTGAGTTTTTCTTTTCGGATGTCTTTGAACGAGAAGGTACGCCTCAAGACTGTGTTCTAAGGTATACACTTTCCAGCTTAAAAATAAATTCCATTTTAAAGACTTTTTCCTAGTGCTTCGGAATCATTATATTTTGTGTTTTTCATGACGTTTTGTAATGTTTTTCATTAAGAAACAGGATAGCTCCTTGTTCACCTGTTGGCAAATCCCAAGTCATAAAATCCATTAAGGTTAAAAAAATGATTCATATGAAAAACATGGCAGTGCAAATGGTGGGTATGAAGACAATTATTTCCAGGAATCAGTGACAATGGTCCTATAAGGAAAATAAATACCAAGTGACTGTAATGGAAAGATGTAAACTTTTATATGTATTTATATTTTGTTATTCATTTTCAGGGAAAAGAATGGTATGGCAGTAAATACAACTGATCCACGAATACGATTAGAAGCTAATACACTGTCAATTGAGAAAAGTATTGAAAGTGATTGTGGTAATTACACATGCATATCTGGTGATGCCCATGCAACTATTGTAGTTAGAAGTAAGTATACTTTGAAAGAACTTTTTTCTTTTTGTAAATTACATATAATAATTTTTTAAAAAAAAGTCTGTGTTAGTGGTATAGGTGAAATGCAGATTGAGATATTTCAACCCAGGTGAGAAATAATTGGTTATTGATACAAGAAATTCATTCAGTGTCTACAGTATGCAATTTATTTAATGTATAAGTATAGAGGTAATTTAATACGAGTTCATATTTATTATTTTAGTGTATACAATTTTGTGATTTCTTTAAAATGAATAACATATGAAAACATATCTAAGATTCATATTAAAGAGACACTTTCTAATGGCTATAGTTCAGCCACTGCTACTTATAATTGCATCAGTCACATTACCACAACTGATGTGATGCCAGATGTAAAATCTCCATTTAGCAGTTGTAAAATCTCCATGTAGCAGATGTAAAATCTCCATGTAGCAGATGTAAAATCTCCATGTAGCAGATGTAAAATCTCCATCTAGCAGATGTAAAATCTCCATGTAGCAGATGTAAAATCTCCATCCAGTGTAAAATCTCATGTAGCAGATGTAAAATCTCCATGTAGCAGATGTAAAATCTCCATCTAGCAGATGTAAAATCTCCATGTAGCAGATGTAAAATCTCCATCTAGCAGATGTAAAATCTCCATGTAGCAGATGTAAAATCTCCATCTAGCAGATGTAAAATCTCCATCTAGCAGATGTAAACTCTGCTGGGTGGGGATTGGGTATGATGAAAAGCCATACCCTTGAGTTCACTGTAAAGTGGGAAAACCAGCTGCCTCCAGTTCTTCAATTTTACAATTCCCCCATGTAAATTGACAGTCTCTTGTTCTCTTATGATGTTCTCCATGAGAGGTTTCATGTTTTTGTTTCATTCTTGAATCTAGAAGCACTTGTCATCAAGCAAATGCTGCCTGAAATCTTTTATTAGGTAATTTCAGAATTTGCAGACATTAAATGAATTACTTGCATATACGGTCAAAAGTCGTTAATTCGGACACCCATAATCCGGAATAATCTATAATCCGGACCTCAAAGCTGAAAACTTTCTCCGCACGCGCCGCGTTGACACATGCGCATAGGTGTTTACGCGTGCGCGTAAGACCTTTTACGTATGCGCAAGCGCAGAATACGTTTTCGCGTGCGCGTTTTATGTATAACAGACGGTATAAGTTAAAATTATCTCATTATCTATTTCAGTTAATGTTGATGATTGCGTTGTTCCTTAATCTTCGAATTGGATCCGGCTTATTATTTTTTTCAGACTGTAAGAGCAATACTATAAAAGTAAACTTGAAATTTCGATTATGTCAAATAGAATTTCCGATTCTGGAGCTCCCAAAGGATCGTACAAAATGAAAGTATGTTTCGATGTTCATTAAACAAAAAGTGGAATTGCTGCAAAAGATGGATAAAGACATGAAGAATGTGACAGAGAGGTTAGTGAAAACGAAAAAATTTCGATTGACAAGTTAGTCGGTATTCTCGACACAGCAATTAACGGGACTTAAACAGCGGAACTTTGTAACTGAACGAGAAATTATGTCTGTTTATAGAATTAAAGAGAAAGTATTATCACATAAAGCGAAGCAACTTAAATAACTTGCATTGAAAGAAATGTTTAATAAAGTAAACAAATAAATATTAAGCTTTTTTTTGTAAATTTTGATACTCTTATATATGATCATAATTGTTCTTAATTGATATAGATCATAATTGTTCTTTATAAATTACGGTTTCATATTTTTAATTTTAGAATTTCTGCATGCCATCTTACGAGAGATTTAAACTGATGATCTATAATCCGGAAAAATCGATAATCCGGAATCGCCGAAGTCCCGACGAGTCCGGATTAACGACTTTTGACTGTATCAGTAATTATTTTTCTTATTAAGACTGAAATGTTTCACTTCCAGTTTCTCACCAACACTTAGCATTATTAAAGGTCTAAGCAAAGATAATGAAACTATGATTGTTCATAACAAAAATGTTTCCCGTTTAATCAACTGTTTAATGAAATTTTGGTTTTTAGGTATTGTGAAACTGGGACCTTTTGATAGTTCACGTAATGTAGTTCAAGGTCAGCCCATTGTTTTAGTCTGTAATGTCACTCAAGGCATACCTCTACCTACTTTACAATGGCTTAAAGGTACATTTTTTTTTTTAACCTTAGAATGATAAATTTGTATAATTGTCATATAGGAGTAGTATCAATTCTGAAGATTAATTTACATAAGCTATTATTTGAAACCATGATGGGCATATTTTAAAAGAAGATGTAGTATTGTTATATTTGTTTGTTATTTCAGATTAAAAGCTTCATTAGGTATTAAAGTAATTTTGGTGGTAGATGACTACAAGCTACCTTGGATGTCTCAGCAGGAGCTACGGCAACAGTTTGGTTTATGTGTTTTTTAAATGCTGTTATTCTTTTATAGATGCCACATACAGTGGATGTAAAGTGGTTTTTAAAACAGTAAATAAAGTTCATAGCTCCCATTTTGCATTTTAAACATATTTTAAGGTTATATTTTTTTTCAGGCTATACTTTTGTGTCAGTATTTATGTGTGCAGTGATTTCTGTCCAATTCAAGAAATGAAAGGCACATGCAGTTAGAATGAAGTTTAACATGAAATGAAGATGTTCTGCACTGACAGGCTAAAATTGCATTTAAACATAAGTTATAGTGTAGGAGCTTTTGCAGATTCTCCATCTGTTTGGCCATCCTCAAAGTTCCAACTATTGATGATAGAAGGGAATGCTCAGTTTTCTGAGAGAAGAATATTTAGTTGTATTTTGCACTATTATCAGATTTGTATATCATAGGCATAATGTTTCCTAAATACTGAGCAGCAGATATAAGAATCAATTATTTATATTCACTCGAGCACAGAATTAAAATTTGATTATATCTATTTTAACAAAATCAAATTGTGGTTACCAAATCAAAAGTATTGAACTAAAGGAACTAATTATGCCACCGAAGAATAATGCAAACATTCAGAGTTGAATACATAAATCAGAGTTGCACACACATATATATATGTGGAGCTGTGATTGTGGAGGAGATATAAACACTCGAGGGGTTTTTAGGACTTATGCACTCATATTTCTTTGTGACATTTTATGTGTTTTTGGCAAGAGTAAATTTTAGTATGTATTAGGTAAAATCAGTAGCCACGAGTATGTATGGATGATGAAGTGAGATGGACAATTGTTGGTAGAATGGAGATAAGCCTATCACAAATGCAGGTGGCTGCAGAGCTTGGTGTAACAAATGTAATATAAAATTTGTGGAAACAGTGTCAGGACACTGGATCCATATCAGGAAGACCTGGATAAGGGAGATCAATATCGACAACAAAGAATCTGGATCGTTATTTGATCTTTAAAAGCAGCGACATGAGACTACTACAGCTTCACATCTCGAAGGCTTCATGAGATAGGGCTGTATGCCAGAAGACCTGTTTGTTTGCTTTCAGTATACTACAGGGCACAAAAGAGCTTATTTAGCATTGTGCATCATTTTGTTGTATGGAATGTTACGAGAACCCCTCACTTGCCTCCTGTCCAGTATGCCTTCACACTGTGTGACCTTTCTGGCTGTGGGGGGGGGGGCACCATACCATAGACTCTTTTGCGCTTCGATACTACAATGTGGATTTTGGACATCCATGCACTATGAGCTTTATTAATAATCATGTGTATATAAAATGACTTTGAAAGTTCATCTTTCTCTGTTATAAAATTATACCAAATTTCATTAAGATATGCCCATTAGTTTTTTTAGAAATTTAACATAATGTGCAAATTCTCTTAATTTTGCACGCAGTTATACATCATGTCAACACAAGTCCTTACCTATATTTTCATACAGTGTCTCACAAAAGTGATGGGACACTTGTGCTTTACAAAAGGAAACTGTAATAAAATAAATTAGAAAAACATGTAAAAATTTTTTATGAGTGTGTTTCATACTTAAATTTAGTAACAATTATTACATAACATACATTTTCTCAAAATATTAAAATATTAATTTAATAAAAATACAATTGTTTAGAATGGAGCAAAAAATGGCTCACATAAGTGATGGGACACCTACGTACTATGCAACAAAAATCGTCTGAATTCCGCAATAAAAATATTTTTGGGGGTTTTCATCTTCACTCAAAAGCAATTGGCAATAATTTATAAAATCGTCTGCAGTATTTCTCTCCAGTTCGTTTTGGAATTTTTGTGTTTCTTAGCTCTGTGCAGCAATGAATGCTAAACGAAAAGAAACTTTGCCTGAAATTCGAAAATTAGTTATTAATTTGCATATTGAACGTGGAAAATCTATTAGAGAAACTGCTGAAACAGTTAACTTTAGTCATTCAACAGTTTTCAATATCATTAAACGATATAAAAAGAATCATATCATTCAGGATAAAAGAAGACCTGGCCGACCATCAAAGCTATCTGATAGAATAAAGAGAATTATCGTTTGAAATATTAAAAAAAATCTAAGAATGAGTGCTCCTAAAGTTGCTGCTGATTTACAAGCATTATATGGAGTAATTGTTAATCCTGAGACTATTAGAAGAGTAATTCGATCTTCTGGATATCACGGTAGAGCAGCTAGGAAAAAATTCTTCGTAAATGAAACGAATAGAAAACTCAGACTGGCTTTCGCAAAATCCAACATAAATAAGAATTCTGATTACTGGAATGAAGTTGTATTTGCTGATGAGAGTAAATTTAATATATTTGGTTCTCACGGTAGAATCTTGGTGTGGAGAAAACCCAGGGAAGAATTTCGCAAACAGAACTGTAAAACAAGTAAAACATGGTGGAGAAGGAGTTATGGTATGGGGGTGTATGTCATCCGCTGTATTTGGTAATCTTGTTTTTATTGACAGTATAATGGATCAGTACAAGTATATTGACATTTTAAATCAAAATTTGAAATCTTCAGCACAAAAATTGAACCTTCGTAACGATTTTAAATTCTACCAGGACAATGACCCCAAACACACTGCTTTGAAAGTTAGACTCTGGCTGCTGTATAACTGTCCTGAAATAATAAAAATAGCACCACAATCTCCAGATTTAAATCCCATAGAGAATATTTGGCAAGAATTGGAATCAAGAATTCGCACACACACCATTTCTTCAAAAGAACAATTAAAATCGATGCTTCAAGTAGAATGGGGTAAAATCACTCCAGAAATCACAAAAAAATTATCCAAATCCATCCCAAGAAAATTAAATCATGTTTTAGAAAGTAAAATTTTTGGATAAATATTTGATGGAAAAGTAAGTGTCCCATCACTTATGCGAGCCATTTTTTTGCTCCGTTCTAAACAATTATATTTTTATTAAATTAATATTATAATATTTTGAGAAAATGTATGTTATGTAATAATTGTTACTAAATTTACGTATGAAACACACCCACAAAAAAGTTTTACATGTGTTTTTAATTTATTTTACTACAGTTTCCTTTTGTAAAGCACAAGTGTTCCATCACTTTTTGTGAGACACAGTAGTTGTTGGTCATGGACCTTTATTTTCAATTCTAAAATATTCATATTTTGGCATTTTTAAATATAAAAGATCAGTTTCATAAAAATAATGAAATCTAAATTTTTATATGTTTTCTTTATGCCTGTACATATGTTTAGGAAAATTTTGTATTCATTATAAAAAATAAAATAGATAAAATTTGATTCCTGTATGCCACAAATTGACCAAGATATTACATTTTAAAGATTTTGATTATATTCTGGGACACCTGTGCAAACTGAAGTCTGAAATGTTTGCATTTGTACATAAGATAAAATATCTATCTGTTTATAAGAATGTTTCTGCTGTTAACAGATTAAATTATGAGCATATATGCACAAATTATCATGAAATTTCTTTTTCCTACAAAAAAGGGATTGTATTCACAGATTCGTTGAATATATGTTTTAGGGAAAAAAACCACATATAGCACTCAGCTTGTAGCATTATTTACATGAATCAAATATTAAAAAATATTTGTACTTCATTCAATTTTTGGTATGATTATTAGATAATAATTCTAAAGGTAATAAAACTTTATGGGAACATTAGTAAGATGTTTTTGACTTTTGAAAATTTTTAAATTACTTGTGTGAAAATTCTTTCAGCATACCATTTGTAACAAAATCGTATATTGAATATTGCACACTAGTAAATCACTAAAGAATATCGCTGAATATCATTTGAAAGTAAAAAATCAATTTTGAAGTTTTCTGATTAATTTGTTAACAACCTCTTGAAGCAAGTTGGAAATGTTTAAATATCCATACTTTCTAAAGTGAATAACCCAGTCAATTTTTATCATAAAGAAGTTGAACTTTGTATTTTATAATGAGTATGAAATTTTTTAAATATGACTATAGAGATCAGAGGACTATATAAAGAGTTATAGTTTATTATTTTTATAAAGTTGATATTTGTGAATTTAAAAATGTCTAATCATGGTATTTAAAAAAAAATTGTAATTGAAAGTATATATCTACGATTAATCGTCTTAGACATATACTTTCAATTACAAAATGTTATTATGTTATTTGCAGACAAAATACAAAATTCTCATGTAATTTCTTCTAATGTTCATGAAAATCTTTCATTATATTTAAAACTTTGTAAATATAAAACTGTGGTTCTTCGAAAATCTAGTTGCAGCTCTTGAATTCCCCCAACACACACACACGAAAAAAAAAATCCTGAATCTTTAAATATGTCTCTTATTGCCATGAAACTTAGTCATCCCTGCAATATAATTACATGACCTGAAGCTGCATTGATGTTACATTAAGCCAGAGTGTTAGCATATTTTTGTTATAATAGTGTTTCTATTCTTTATTCTGTATTATGTCTGCCAAAGGCAGTTTAATGATTTAGAAAGTTGCAAGAGAAAGAACGTGCATTGATGATTGCATGTTTGGGTATTCTTCATTTGACTCTGATAAAGAGTAACTATTATTTGCTTAAATGCCATTATTGATATTAGTTTTGAATCTGCAGTTGAATGTCTAAAAAAGAAAATACTAAATTAAAAAGTAATTCTGGAAAAACTGCATTTTCCTTAAGAAAATTCTTTGGCAGTTCTTTTCAAAAGATAATCTTTTTCCAACTAGGAGCGGCCCTTTAGTGACTGAGTGGATAAGATTGTTGAATGCTGATAACGTGACCCCAGTTCAGATCTTATGAATAGGCTGGCTGCATAGGAGTCATGGGATTTTTCTCATGGGTAACATAATATTAACCGGTTTCTCTTAAAAAGCCTTTCACAGAGGATTCCTTTCTCTTACACAGGATGGTTTTGGTATGCTTTGCCATAAAATAATTCAAAAAGAAGAAGACATTATAAATTGTGAGATAAAAATATTCCTATATTTACTTGTTTAATTGCAAATATGGATCATTGTATGAATTTTGATATGACTGTTTGTTGTAAGTATATATGTTGTATCTCATTATAAAATTACAAACTGTCTTTATTTTAATAAAATATTTTTGAATTGTGTATTAATTGTGAATTTATATTGTTATAAGATTAATATTTGCCAATTTCATTTCATTTGTTTTTTCAAGACAAAAAGCTGGATTATAGTCAGTTAAAACTGAATTGAAGAACTAATTAGGTTTCTAACTAGGTTTTCTTAGTTTGAATATAAAAAAATATTTCAAATTGTGTACTGAGTATACTTCATCATATTTACACTCTCATTTTTTTTCAGGTAATAACTTGCTTAATCTGTCTGATAGCAGAATCGAAATAAAATCAGATGCTCGAGGAATTGAAGGCACTGAACTTATAATAGCAGATGCCCAGTTTGATGACAGAGCAAATTATACTTGTATTGCCTCAAACGAAATTAGTACTGCAAATGCTTCAATTTTGGTTAGAGTTAAAGGTATGATTTTATTAATTTAAGCTGTTAAAAGTACATTTGCTTAATGTCTATATGCTATGCATCTTGGTTTAATTGTACCAAGATATGTTATGTAATGTTAAATATAAGATAGATACAAACTTTTAATCATATTTTACTATATTTTATGCCGAAGATTCACTTTAAAATGAAGCAAAATGGTTATTAGCACTATCAATGGATACTTTTTTAAAACATTAAAAACTTTTTTTTTTTTTAAAGTTTTTTTAAGTTTTTTTTTAAGTCTCAATTTCTTATAATTTCAGTGTTTAAATGATAGGCTTAGTCAACTTAAGTCTTTTAAACCCAGGGAAGAATTTCGCAAACAGAACTGTAAAACAAGTAAAACAGAAACAAGTAACAGAAACAAGTAAAACATGGTGGAGAAGGAGTTATGGTATGGGGGTGTATGTCATCCGCTGTATTTGGTAATCTTGTTTTTATTGACAGTATAATGGATCAGTACAAGTATATTGACATTTTAAATCAAAATTTGAAATCTTAGCACGAAAATTGAACCTTCATAACAATTTTAAATTCTACCAGGACAATGACCCCAAGCACAGTGCTTTGAACGTTAGACTCTGTCTGCTGTATAACTGTCCTGAAATAATAAAAACACCACCACAATCTCCAGACTTAAATCCCATAGAGAATATTTGGCAAGAATTGGAATCAAGAATTCGCAAACACACCATTTCTTCAAAAGAACAATTAAAAGTTAGTTAACTCTTTGTTTAAACATTCATCTGAAAAACAATTTTTACATTTATGATTGAAACTTGATTTTAGGTATTACATTTTTTCACATTTGAGAAGGCATTTGAGGAAATATTTATATTTTATGTATATATTTTGATATGAAATATGTATATATTTGATTTCGTATGTATATATTAAAATTCCTCTGATGTAGTTCTTTTATAAATATGTAAGCTTAAGCACAGTATAAATTGAATGATTTATGAATTATGATTATTAGTGTTGGATATTAAATACATAGTCTTCTGTGTAAAGGCTTTTTGTGTTTACTTGCGTATTTTACACGTGTTCTTTCATGCAAAACGTATTTTTATGTCTATGTAAATAAGTTTTTGAATATCTTTACTTTTGATATCAAAGATTTTGGTTTAGTCTTAATGGTTTTAATCAAGTAATGAACTTTTTATCTCGCAAGATGTAGAAATTCTGTCATTTTATTCAAGTATTTTTCTCACTCTGCTTATTTTAGATAAATATGCTGCTTTGTGGCCTTTCCTGGGAATCTGTGCTGAAGTTGGTGTACTTTGTACAATCATTTTTATTTATGAAAAGAGAAGGCAGAAGCCTGATTTTGATGAATCTGAAACTGAACATAATACTGAAAAGTAAGTTTTCATTATTTAGAAAGAAATGTTAATGGTATCAATTTCTCTTGTAAAATACTGAAAATGTATTTTTGATATTTTTGTGAAAACTACTTTAAAAAATCTGCTTGCTTGCATGTACGTATTTGATTTGAATCATAATTAGTGTAATTTATCACTTCATAACAGTCAATAACTTTTCTTCCTTGAACAGGTATGAATTATGTACATTATTTATCTTTGGAATCGAGTAGTAAAAATGGATGTCATCTCAAATGAATTTAAATTTTATGAATAGTTTTTGCATTTTATGCAGAATTAATTAAAACAGAATTAAATTTCTAAGACATACGAGTCCAAATGTCTTACTCTTATTCTGAAGACTTTTAACAGAGTCATTAGAAATAGTTACCATTTGGATTGAAGCATTTGAAGTTTCCTGGTGATAAAATATCTCTGAAAGAACATGCATTTCCTTTAGCTAGTTTTTCATTTGCCTCTTCCCTACAACAGAGCTTTTGGCAGTTCAACTGTTTGTTTCTTTATGACAGTTACTTTCAGTCTGTCTGTTTCAGCAGTTTGCTGAAAATGTGAATCAAAATGAAAGGATGATAATACACAAATTGGCTGTTCACCCAAATTCAGAAACTGTCTGGCTTTGAGCTGGAGTATTTCTTTATAGTAGTAATTGCACATTTCTGTTATGTATCTTAAGTGCTCTCAGAAAAGTAAAAATTAGGATAAATGCATATATTTGTTTTAAAAAATGAAATGTTAATATTTTTTAATGCAGAACATGAAGAATTCTTTTTACTATAATTTGTCAATGAAATTCTTTTTATCACATTTTGTCATCCCATGATGTCTTTTATCAGTAGTGCTATTATAACAAGATTTCAGCATTAGCCAGTTCTTACTGTATCCATTGGTGTTTTCAACATTCATACAATTTCCTAACTTTAAAGGGGGGGTTAGTATAGTTATAATTTTCAAGTTTAACTTGGTGAGTGTGCATCAGCGATTTGAAGATTCAGTGGTTTTCCAGCTTTCAATAGTGTGTAGTGGTTCAGTAAGCATAATATTACATCAAATTTCAAAAAGCAGCAATCAATAAAATGTAAATTGATTTAATTAAATATAATAATATCACAATCTTAGAAATCTCGCATTATCACTACGTCACATATTCCATAAACTAGCTGAACACACCCAGTGATGCTCTCAGCGCCCTGTAGCGTTATGCAGGTCTTACAATATTCTCCCTGCTTAAACTCCTATGGAGTTTACGTTTCAATTTTCAGATATTCAGATAAATTTTAAAGTCAATAAAATTACACTAAATATTAAAATTGGTAAATTATTAAAATGTATAAAATAAAAGTTTTTTCAAGTTCATATTATTCAGTCTGTAAATGGTAGGGGAATAAATTTGTTGATGGCTTACCGAAGAACACATGTAGGCGTCTTAACTTCAGCTACTCTGGCCAGACCATCAGCACCAGGATAGATACACTTGCTGGATGCGACCCAATGGCCAATGCAAAGGATTGAAGTTGGAGTCCTTTAGCAGTACTAGTTGACCAATCTGTATGTTCGGCTGCAAAATGCTCCATTTAGCATGATTTTGTAGTTGATTTAGATATTCTGAATGCCACTGGTTCCTAGTTCCCCCTGGAATGAAAAGAAAGTGAATCCAAAGCAGTATGTGGTTCAGGAAAGGATAACATAGCATTTCCTGCTTCTATCTGAATAACTAAAGCAGTTTACTCTTCAAAATACATGATAGTTGATTTTGCTACCCTTAACAAAATCAGTTTCACTGCTTTTATGTTTGCTTCCCACAGTCCACCAAAGTGTAGAAAAGCTGGTAGGATAAATTTCCATTGGATGCCTTCTTCTGCACTAAATCCTTGAATTGAGTCAGATTTGCAAATTTCATTATATGCGTTAAGAATATTTCTCGGACCTTTGAAATTAATGGCGTTGTCACTCCAGATGACAGCTAGTTTGGATCTTCTGGCAATATCTAATGCATTTCTTCTTCAACTTTGACAGATTTTCAGCCATATTTAATTTCTAGCCAGGTATAATTCAGTTTCAATAATTCAATAAACATTCTTTTACCTGGTTTTCCAATGACAGATGCACCTAATGCACATCATTGGTTTGAAGATTCAGTGGTTATCCAGCTTTCAATAGTGTGTAGTGGTTCAATAAACATATTGCATCAAATTTCAATAATCAGCAATCAGTAAAATATAAATTGATTTAATTAAATATAATAATATCAAAATCTTGGAAATCTCACATTATCACTACATCACATCTTCCATCAACTAACTGAACACACCCAATGGCGCTCTCAGCGCCCTCTAGTGTTATGCAGATTTTACCACTAGGAAAGAAGGATTTTGGTATTTATAGATTATCTGGAGTTTTAACTTTTCTTTAATCAAAGTTATTTATTATTCAGGTGTCATATTTAGGAGCAATAAGCTTCCAAACTTAAAATTTTTTCATCTGAAGCCATAGATTGAATAAAAGAAAGTAAATCTGTAGTAAAAGAGGTAGGATAGAATTAGTGCATACAGGCATAGTAGTTACAAGTCAGAGAACCAAGAACTAAATTATTCAGTATGGAGGGCTGGGTAATTGAAAGATTTCAAAGATTTTGTTCATTACATCTGTGGGTGTTTTTGTGGTTTTCCCCATGTGTAACATGTGTACGAGCCAGTTTCCCTTAAAAAGTCCTCCACAAAGGCATCCCTCCCTTAAGGCAGATAGCCCTCGAGTGCTTTGCCTTAATCTAATAAACCAAACCATTACATTTGTATCTTCTTTTCAGGTTCATTCATAATATTCTCTGTTATATATCTAGGTAAATTTTGCTTACTACATTATGGCAAAGCAATGTGAGAGTTATCTGCTTAAGGGGAGGGTGCTTTCATTGAGTAAAATTATTAAGTTCAACTCAGGTTTCTTTAGTATTCCTTTTATACCTTTGCTGATAGTTTCAAATTTTTATGAACCTTTTCTCTGATCTGTCTCTTAACTGATTTATTAGTGATTATGTGCTGTTTTAATTACTGTATGAAATGATATAAAAAGTATCATGCTGTAAAATCATTTTAAATTAATGTTTGTTTCTTTTTGAAAAATTTTATTTTTTAACTTAATAATTTTTGATATTTCTTAGCAGAAATATTCCAGATCAAGATGAAAAATCTCGTGATGTGAGGCACCGTAAATAATTTCATAAGCTACACCATTCTTACATTACCTTTGTTTTTATATTTATATCTGTATACACATATTAACATTTACATATGTATGTAGAAAAGATCTTATTTTTTGTACATTTTCTTAGTTCATTCAATAAAATGCCTTTCTGCTAAATTGATAGTCAATTTATTAAAATATATGTAAAAAAGATACTTTTTAATTTTCTTGCTTTAAGTAAAATATTAGTTGTATTCTTGTACTTTCTGATTACGTAACATCTTTTATAATATATTTCTTGCAACCTAAGTTAATGCACTTATAAGAATAATTCAGAATTGTTGATTATATTACAACAGTTGACATTCTGCATCGAATTTCCTTATTTAAGTTCTGTTTCAGTTGTGTTTGTGACAAATTATTTTAAAGTACATAATTTTTTACATTTAAATGCTACTGATAAGACCCAACATTTAAAGTTTGGATATGATGTTTTGCTTTGGTTTGACAGTTATAATATTGAAATATGTTGTCTCCTGTCTTCAGGATCACCTATGAGATATTTTTCATTAGTGTCACATTTTTTTGTGTTTATAAAGTGTAGTGCATTGCACAGAAATCTGAAATTATCTGAAAATCCAGTTAAAAAATTGTTAGTTTATTACCTACTCAAAAGATATAGTATTTTAATCAAATTGTGCAGTTGCAGTTGACAATTATAAACATGTGTTCATTGATTTTCATAGTAAAATATATTCAATAAAAATGGTGCAGCTAACTCTTTCAGTTCCTGTCATAGATCTGGAAGTAAAAGTATTTATTCTTATTTGGAGAGTATCTAATTTTGTGTAATATTTTTTGGGGAAGAAGACAACAAAATATAGTTTTTGATTTTACAGTTTGGAATGTGCGATGTGATATGTTAATTTTTTGGCTATTTTTAGTTTATGAAATATTAACTATATCTTTTCTGGGAAAGGAGAATAACATAAGATTTAATAATTTTTAAAATTAAGTATTAAAAAAATGCAAAGTTTATTTTAATTTTTTTATCCTGATTGTGAATTTCCAATCCAAATGCAAATATAGTGTAGTCTTTCATTAGTAGAATTGCATAATATATTCAAATTTATTGCTTTTGTATAAAACTGTGTATTACGTTTAAATTAATGATAAAATGTTTGTCTGTATATATTTGAAATTAAAACTGATTTATTTGAGCAGAAATTTTCTACAGGTATATGGCTTTGTTAATGTTTAAAGTTATTTTAATGTAGTTCTGTAATTTTCTAAAGGGGAGAGGGCATTAAGTGTAGCCTTATAGTTATTATTTCAAGTTGACTTTTTAAAAATGAATTGGAAATAAAGATACCATGTTTAAGGTATACAATATGACTTTGTATTTCCAAATGTATTATTTTATATCTTTGAATTAGAAATATGCTTGTATACAGTAGGAGTACATTTCTTCCTATCTGCATATAATTACTGTACATGAGTCATGTACAGTAATTATAATATAAATGTATCTGCATATGTGTTTAATTTTTAAGTTTATCTGACATATGTTGCTTAGTTTATAGTAATCAAATTATTCACAGACTGTCATAAATTTCTTTGAATTACTGGCAGCTTTAAATTTTATAAAGATCTCTTATTTGGTTATGTGTATTATGTGATGCTGTTTGATTATTATTAATGTCATTTTTGTATAAGTTATTCCTTTTTTATAACAGTCAAAGTTTTTGTAATGAGAAAAAAGGTTGGAAATAATGAAAAATCAGCGTGTCTATTTCAAAAGTAATGAATAAAATGCACTTGTAAGAATAATTGAGAATTGACGATTAGTAGATATGTTTAAATGAACTATGCTGTAGTATGATGAACTGACAAGAATATATGGAAGATCTTCTAGTTAATGTACCCATGTATTGAAGTGGACTAAATATTAATTCTTTAGAGCCTAAATATAAATGCTGCATGTCGGATTTTTTGGGGGGTGTATGCAACGGTAATATTTAATATATTTGCTCATCAACCTTTTGTTTTTTAACTTCTATATTTCTCTTCTATATATCTATAAAATTAAAAATTCAAACACAGAAATTTAGTCCTCTTGGTGTGTGAAATCTTCATACTTCATGTTGAACCACTTGATGTCACATAAGATTTTCGCACCCTTATGAAAATTAGTTTCTAAATTGTTAAACGCAACTTGCATAAAGGTTCATAGTACCTTTATGGTGGGATACAAGTGGAATGTAGTTTGCTGCTTTGATTAGGAAAGAAAAAAAAATCTTTGCATATCAGTGTCCTGACAAAGGTTCATATGCACTCTTACGAAAGGTGGAGTTTTTTGTAGAAATTGATTTGTGCAAGGGTCTGCACAGGGCCTTTTTGTCCCAGAGCATCCTTTTAAAAGCTTATATTTAAAATTGTGTCCAATTAATATAATAAGGATATTTCATTATGAAGGCATGGTGATGGTTCATCATTATGCCAATATAATGATGGTACATAATTTTTAAGAATATATGAAAGGTGTGTCTTTCATATATTCTTCAAATATTTGAGGCTGTTGTTTTTGTTCCATGGAAAAACTGAAATTGCAGCATGATCTAGACTAGTGAAACAATCCTTTTATGATGTCTCTTTGTGTGTGCAAGAACAAGCTCTTGTTGAGTGCATAGGGGCAATGTAGTTTAATTGTTCGATTTGTAAAAGTTTTTAAGTATATTTTTCCATAGTTTAGGATGTTGAAGAAATTGACTGCAATTCATGCATATTAGTGTATTGTACAGTTAGTTACCTTTACATCTTGCTTCATTCTTTTATTATTGTTATTATTAATGTTTGCATATGAAATAGTTTATACTTCATGAGTTCGTGTTTTCTTGTGAGTTATAATCTGTGATTTAATATGTCATATGTTTAAATGTAAAAAAGGGGGGCTATGTAGATAATTTATATTTTTTGCCTTTGACTGCATTATATTGTATATTTATCTGCTTTGTGGTAACAAATTTCTGGTGCTGTTGAACTTGACAGAATTAAAATATAAGAAATAAGTATATTGTTGTCCAAAATATGATGGTTTGTTAGCATGTTTGAAATATTGGTTGCCATATAATTAACTTATACTTGAAATAACTATGCAAGTGTGTCAAATTTTTCTGTGCATCTTATACACACATATATATATATATATCAGTTCAATTTGTAAATATAGCAGTAACTTAATTTGACTTAGTTATTAGTTATAGGATTAAAAATTTGCTTAATGTTGAAGAATTGCCAATTTCTTGCCAAAACTAAAGTAAAACCATCTTTGATTTCTTTTTTATATCTTTTTACTTTATTAGTATTGATATAAATTTTATTAGCAAAGATTGACTTCAGGTAGCTTTAATAACATGGGAATTAGATATTGACTGTGGAGAATTCAACTTAATCATATTTAATTTCATTTTACTAGGAAGCATGCTCGAAAAGATACTTAAAAGGGCTTAATGTAAAGAATATTTACATATTATATAAATATGTATTATATATTGTTTCAATAAATAGAAAGTTCTATTATACAATTTCTGTTTTTGATTGAATTTTAAGTAGTAAAAAATGTAGAATATTATATAGGCAATAAGTTTCTTAGTTGCTTGAGTTCAGTTCTATCTTTGTCATTTTTTACCTTGAGACATCTTATTTCCCTATACTTCAAATCCTGTCATTCTGATAAACAAAAGTTAATTTTATTCTTGTGTTTGCTGTGCCTTCAGTGTTTGCTTTTCCAGGTTTGCTTCTGATTAGAAACTCAACTGTTTAAGAGTAGTTGTAATTGACAGAAATTCCCTCATCTATTATTCAACAAGCAGTTGAGAAGTTTCTATGTAATGGAAGAAAACATTCATTATAAGTTGATTACACAAACTTAGCACCTCCTATTTTTTTTTTACCCCCATAATCGTATTTTTTCCATCACATAGTTATAACTCATGTCTTCTTCCCTACTAATAAAGTTTATATTTGGAATGGGGTTTTTATTTTTCAATATTAAACTTTATTTTTGCAATGTGACTTAAAGTACATTGGTTGAATAAGGAAAGCTTTTATATTTTGTTCTGAAAAGACTTCTGCTATTAAAAAAGAAACTCGTTAATCCCCTAATGCTTATTACTGATGGTAAAAAAGATTACATTTTTTATTTCTCTATTTACATTTTTTATTTCTCTATACATAAAAAAACTAGCCAGTTCCAAGTAATGATTTAATCTTTGATCCTTTTTTACTGGGAGCTTTTCAAGATTAACCTTGCCATCAAAGTTCATGTTAAACTTTAAAGAGTAGTATTAGTCTGTTTGAAGGAATTGTGCACAGGCACATTGTTTTTCTTCTCCATCTACATAGGTTCTGCATGGCATCTTTTTCCAGATCTCTTGTTTCGTTATCTGAGATACCAGTGCATTTTTGAAAAATTCAAAGTTTGAAATAATACATGTATTTTTTTTTAAATATGTTTTTGAATTATGTCATGTCAAATTTTACATTTTTAATTAAAAACACCTAAAACCTTGTTTAAACCACTAACATCAGGAGGGGAAAAAAATAGAAGTTCTTTTGTGATCCTTGGTCTTCATTTTGCAGGACCTTTATAGGCTGTATGTGAAAATAGAATATTCTGCATGACCTAATGTTATTTTTATATAAATATTTTGATAATGAGATAATAGATGGAAATTGCTGTTTGATAAAATTAAATGAACTTAAAATTCATCTTGAATTTTCTATAGAAAATAATGGTGCATATGAATAATTTTTACATTTTTCGTTAAAAAAAAAGTTGCAAAATCATTGAGTTTGTTGATAAAAAATTAACGTTTTACAAAATATAAAATAGACAGAAAAAATTGAAATTCCCAATTCGGGCTTGCAGGTGCCCATATTAGGGTGGACTACGTAATTCAAAATTTCATGATATCTCTAGGTACCGTTTTTTCACAATTCAAGAAACATGCATATATTTATGTTGATTCTTCATTAGTTTTTTCCTTCAAATATAATTCAGGGTGATAATATTCGGTAATTTGGAAAATGATACATCCACTTTTAGTGATTCGACGCAAAATGCCGTTTTGCGACTATAGTCCTTCTAGGTAACACCCCTTTGGGCTAATGGTAAAGGGGAGTACAAGTTACTTCAATAGATCTAAATAACTTTTTGCAAGGTTTCATGTTGATTAGCTTTGAAGCATTATGCCAGACAAACTAAAAAACACTATCAGAACAGCTGCCAAACTTTTCAGTAATTGCACTAATACTTTAAGCAGCGGTCGTTAACCCTTAGAACTTCACGGACCACTCTTCGTATGTAATTTTATATTTGGCGGACCATTAATATGAATTTTTAAAAAGGTAAATACATTTATACAATAATAATCAGCAAAAACTATGCATATTTTGTTCGCATTGAAAAATTATATGAAAAGTATAAAAATCTTTCTTGTACGGAAAGCTTCCATATCACTGAAAAAGAACTTCACGAAAAGCAAGTACAAACCAGCAAACGCAAAGCAATATCAATGAGCTGAAAGTTGTATGCCACTAGTTTTTAATTATTGTTAACATAATAATCATCGCTTACTGAGCAATGGTGCCATCGATCAACAGTCGGACAAAACAAAAAACGGAAACTTCAAGTTATGCAATTATAAACAAGAATGAATTCCCATAAAAATCCATCAAGTTGCTTATTGACAAGGAGAAAAACTGTTATTAGCGACTACGATAGCATGTTTGTAATTCAAAAGGAAGAATTCCAGTTCGTGCTATTAATGATAACAGCAGCATATCCATGAATGCCAAATCTCACTTTTAAATATCGGTAGATACACCTGGAAAAATAACTAAAAATTCACAAGGAAGCAATTTCTGTGAAAGCAGTAGCTAAAATAATAATAAAAAAAAAGTATATTCCATAATAGGTTTTGTTACTCGTCATGTTTTAAACTAAATCTTCATAAAAATATAAATAATGTCCCAATTTTTCTGCGGACCATCAAAATGTTTTCACTGAGCACTGGTTGACGACCGCTGTTTTAAAGAAATACTCAGAGTTTCACAAAAACCAATTGGTCTATTGCAGAAGACGTGAATTGTCCTGCCATATAGAACGTTGTGGCTTACGCAAGTTTGCATCGCTCAGACAAAAAATCTCTCGTATAATTCGAATTTAGAGCGAGGTAAATTTGCAACAATTCGATCTTATGCACCCATCTTAAAATATATTGAAGTATATTTTCCCCAAAGGATTTCGCAATCTATGATTCAGTATTTCAAAAAAATTCTACTTATGCATTTCGGGCATAAAGTATGTGCTAAATCCAGAGTTTCCGCAACTGGAAAGAAAAAACGACTATCGCTAGCCTAGAGTTACTAGCATCCACAATTGCTTATCGCCTTGCCTCTACAACTGTGTGTAAGATTCCACATGGAAAAGTTTACTTTTGGACGGACTCCACTACTGTACTTACTTGGATTAAAAGAGAAGAAACGTGGGGAACCTTTGTTCAAAATTGAATATCTAAAACCAGGACTCTTAACTTCCAAGGAGCAATGGAATCATGTGGCAGGAATATTAAACCCTGCTGTTCTTCCAAGCAGAGGATATCTGCGAAGAAAATGATACAGTCAAAATGGTGGGAGAGCCCTGATTGGTTATATTTAGCTATTGACAAATGGCCGTCTTCAGGATTTGTTGTGAACAAAGATGAAGTTCTTAAGGAACGGAAGAAAACTGCTGCTTCATCTTCAACTAGCTGCTTGACTACTCAGATAAAAAATGTAGATACTGATTGGTACTATCGATACTTTTCACAGTTTGAAAAAATTGTATGCATGATTGGCTAAATCTTGAGATTTTTGGAAAATTGCGAAAAATCGATAAAATTGAGAAAACATGGAAGTCTGAATGCAAAGGAATTTTTAGAAGCTGAGAAAAGGGTAATAAAGATCATTCAAAGAAATGCATTCTTAGACGAGAAAGATAAAAAACTGAGAACACTAAAAGTTTATAAAAATGAAGATAATCTCATCAGATTAAGAACAAGAATTGTCTATCGAGAAGACAGCCATTCTTTTACAAGACCTGTGATTCTCCCTTCTCAACACCAGGTTGTAAAACTATTAATATTTTCTTTTCATAAAAGGCATGGACATATGAGGACTCAAATGTTACTTAATCTTCTGAGGGAACGTTTCTGGATCTTAAATGAAAGAGAAACTGTGAGGTCAATTATCTCAAAATGCGTTACATGTAAGAGACATTCTGGTAAAAGTTTGGATGCAGACCATCACTAAAGACCATATTTGAGATGATGCAGTATTTGAAATCGTGGGAGTAGATTTAGCCGGTTCATTATATTTGAAAAATCAAAAGAAGACTTGAGTTTGTCTCTTTACGTGTGTGGTTTATCGGGCTGTGCATATTGAGCTGGTCTCGGATATTTCGACTGATACATTTTCATTGGCCCTACGTAGGTTTGCGGCAAGAAGAGGTAGATGCACAGTTATTTACTGTGACAATGGAACCAATTTTATTGAAGCCGATAATTTGTTAAAAACTCTCAACTGGGATCGAGTCATCGAGAATTCAACTGTGAATCGCCTTCAGTGGAAATTCAATCCTCCTTCTGCCTCCTGATGGGGTGGTTGGTGGGAACGGTTAATTCGAATCATAAAAGATATATAAGGGAGTAATAGGTCGTGCTTGTTTATCATATGAGGAGATGATGACGGTTCTATGTGACTGTGAGTCGATTATTAACTCAAGACCTCTCACATATATTTCGGAAAATTCCTCAGATTTTGCTCTTCTGTCACCATCATCATTTCTTCAAGACATCAAAGAAATTGGAGTACCAAACTGTGATGCAGCAGATCACAAAAGAATAATAGAAGATAGAAGGTTAAAATATCGACTCGCACTTTAAAAAGCTCTCAGGAAAAGATTCAGGTCTGAATATCTGGGTTCTCTAATTCAAAGACATAATCTTCAAAAATAGTCAACGATATCTGTGGGAAACGTTGTTCTCATAGGCAGTGACAATCGGAAACGCGTTAACTGGCTTCTAGGAAGAGTAACGGAAATTATTACTGGAAAAAAAGGATTGGATTACTCAATTATGGCAAAGCACACGAGGGCTATCTGCCTGAAGGGAGGGATGTTTTCGTGGAAGACTTTCTAAGGAAAACTGGCTCGTACACACTTTACACACGGGAAAAACCATGAAAACGCTATGCAGCCAACCCGTTCGCGGGATTCGAAACTTGGACCGAACTACCAGTGTACAGCGTCATTACTACTCGGCCGCTAGTGGGCCCAATGAAAAAAAAAAAAAAAAAAAAAAAAGAAGGAATCATCAGACTCGTGAAACTTCGGACAGTTCATGGAGAAATAATGAGACCGATACAACGGTTGTTTCCGTTAGAGATTACTTGTGAAATGGCTAAGGATGTACAAACTAAAATGCTAAGAAAGCAAGTGTCTCTTTCTGAAGTATCCCAAACACGAGTAGCAAACCCTGCAAAA